GAGCAAGTTCCGGAGCAGGTTCCGGAGCAAGTTCCGGAGCAGGTTCCAGAGGCTCCTGAGTTTGGGAGCAGCTTCCCACAAGCTCCAGAGCGCGAGCTGACCATGTTAGTCACGGCGTCGAGCGGACACGGCGAGCTGACACGGGCCACCTGGTGTCGCTGTGTTGACATGCCGTCAGGCCACCTTGCAGTTTGTTTTTTGCTAGCTTCCTAACATGTCAGACTTCTGACAAGCGGTGTGGTGTGTTTCTAGAAGGCTTGTCATGCAGATGTGTAGACACGCTGAAGCCGATTCTTTTTTTTTGCGCTGATCTGCTGGCTCACCCGGACAAGTTGTCAGGCTGTCATGCTGACACGTTGCTCTGTGCTAGCTTGGGGGCGCCCCACACGTTGTCCGCTGAACACGCGGGTTCCGCATGTGTCTCGACGCTGCTGTCGTGCTGACGGGCCTGCTGACTTCGCCCGTTTCGGAAGAGGTTTCCATAGGTTTCCTGGTTTTTGTTGGTTGGTGTTGTTATCCTTGTGCACATGTGCTGACGGATTGCCTTGTTAAGATGCTCCCATGGCGCACTGAAAAAGTTCAAGCTTGTGAATGCAACAGTGTCTAACAAACAAGCACGCACCCACACACACACACACACACACCCCACTTGTAAAAAAACCTGCGAACGTCGCAAGTTGATTGACAATGTTGCCATACGAAGAAATTCATGCCCGGTAGTCTGGCATGTGGACTTGAGGGCCTTCAAGTTTGTGTCCCAGATCCACTGAGAGAGGCTTTCACTCACGCCCAGGACCTCCACTCACCGGCACTGCGCTGGAGGAGCGGGATGTGCCAGCCTTGGCTGCCTGTCGCGAGGAGGAGGCGTTTGGGGTTCACTCAGGCATCCGCCAGACCACGGGAAAAAAACAAATAATATATAATTAGAAGACAACCTCAACCCTTTGTGGACTCCTCTTTAGTCAGAGGTGGCACATGCAGCTTGCAGCAAGCACCGCAAAGGGCCCTAAAGTGGAGTATGCATTGTTCACTGGCTTCACAACCCCTGGCCCTGCTCACCTTTTTTCCGCGTAGTGACGTGCGGAACGGCACCTGCGGAAGAATTCTCCTGCTATTCGGGCGCGCGCGCGCTTGGGATGTCAAAGGCTCCTGGACACCCAATTCTATCCTCCGGAGGCGGTGCACCACAGCGAGCCCAGTTCCGGCTCTCCGCGCCGTGAGCTGCAGCACCACTTGAGCGCTGTCCGGGAGGTTCGCACGGAGGTGTGGGAGGCGCGGTGGAAGCATTTGGCGCTGGAGGTGAAGCATACAGCGGTGAACTGGTGATTCGTGGCGCGCTTTCTACGCTTTCTTTTGGGGTAGAGCTGGTTTCGTCACCCCCCACCCTGAGCTGGTTTCGTCACCCATCTCTTTACTGTCACTGCCATTTTTGAACACTTTTCTTCAGCCATGCCCTCCAAAAGCTTCCCGAAGCTTCCCTCTCCCCCACCGTTCGCGCCACGGCCGCCCGCCAGGCCCTCTCCGCTCGCCCTCCGGAGGACGATTGGAGCTGGGGAGCTGGCGAGCCCAAGGCGCGACGGGGCCCGGACGGGTCGCGGTGGTGGTGGTCCATGTCATTCCGGACTCCTTGAAAAGGCTCCCGGTTCTAGAGGTTCTGAGGTATTGACCTGGTTTTCACCATCAATTGGGAGGGGTTCTGAAATCAAGAGTCGACATTCACAACGGCGGGATCAGGAAGTCACACACCCTCAGCTTGGGTTGTGAAGCTGGTTCTTCGCACCTCGGAGAGGCCAGAAATCCCCTTTCGGCTCATCCAAGGAGTTTTCACCTCCACTGGTGCCCTCCCCCCCCCGCGAAAATAGAAAGCACACAAGTTCAGACCAAATGACAAAGAACCCAGATGAACCAAACAAAAATGAAAAAACACGTGGTCCACGTCCCGTCCGTCTTCAGGCGGCTCGGGATGGCTGTATCTACTTCGCAGGCGGACCGCCGCCCCTGCGGCGGCCGCCCGCCGTGGGAGTGGCGCGGAGTGGGCGCAGCTGGTGCGCCGGTGGCGCAGGTGGGGGGACGAACTCCTGGCGCCGTGCTTCCTCGAATTAACAGTATCAACAGCTGTAAATCCTCAAGGTTGGGCCTCTATAACAGTCTCGACCACATTTGATTGTGCGTGGAAATGCGGATTTTCTTCCTGAGTCGCTCTACATTTTGGTTTCTTTGGGAGTCGCTCTTCATGGGTGCCGGTTTGCCAGCCCCACGTTGGACGAGGCCGCTCCAGCGCGGTGTCCGTGGCATCCTCCAAAGCGGCGGTGTCGGACGACGAACTGCCTGGAGTCCTGGTTCGACTCGACTCTTCGGCCCTTTGGGGGGTCTTGTTGGGTTGGATTGGGTCGGGTTGGCGCAGTTCATTCGGGACCAATCGCGTCAGAATTCTCGGAATGGTTGTGCTCATCGGCACGTTGACGCGAGCCAACTCTCGCCGGGCTAGGGCCAGGGCCTAGCGGCCTAGACAGCCTTTCACAACTGCTACCTGGAAATGGGAGGGGAAACAGCACCACAACAGACAAGCAATTCTGCATACAACACACAATGACGTTCCGCCAGTGTTCCGCTGGTCACCCAACCGTCCTGCTACTGTTTCACCAGTGGATTCGACGACCGTTCCCGACATGACAGCAGACAAGAAACATCACATAATGGCAACACCAGGCACAACCACACAGCACAGAACCCCCTGACAGTACACACGGACACACACTACAACACAATACAACACACTACAACACAGGGCGGCAAATGAGACAAACAATGGCACGAAGAGAATCACCACAACACCACACCGTGGTTGACTGGATGATATTTGGGGTTAGTTTTGATCTGTCTGCCAACCAGTGCTGAAAATGGATCGGCCGCACGACTTCGCAAGCCCCAAAAGCCGTAAGAACCGAGTCTCGCGTTCCGAAGCCCTGCGTCTTCATGGGAACAGGATTCTTATGCAAATTCATGGAAGGTTTCAAGTGAAGAGGTCCTGAAGGGGTGTTGATTCACTGTCCACAGGTGTCCCAGGTGTTCGCTTGCTCTTTAATGGTGAGCGCGGGGGTGCGAGGTGTCCTCTTTTTGGAGCAGTAGGGTCGCTGCGTCGCTGCCGCGAACATCCAACCAGACACAAGAATTCTGGTCTTCCAGGTGCTCCTTGCCTGTTGTTTAAAGAGTTTTCTTCCTGGACAAATGGAGCCCAAATGCCATGCTTTCAACGCCCTGGTTTTGCTGAGGTTGGAGCTGGAAACCCAGCTCGAGGAGAGGGGCTGTCCGGGAAACCGCCAGGGCTTCCTTAGGAAGCTGGAAAGACGGGGGGAGTTGGTCAAGTCCCACTAGGTGGAGTGAGCAGTGAGCAGGGCCAGGGCCATTCACAATCGCTCAAAATCATTCACCTACTCAGCCAGACCTGGCGCCAGACACCAGGGTTATGACTCGTTCAGATGTCTTGAGTCACATGAGCCTTGAGCCTTGAAGGATGGGAAGTTCATCATGGCCAAAGCGCTGCGATACCGTCCCACAGGGTGCTTCTTGCGCCTACCAGGTGGCGCCCGGTGCTCGTGCTGGGTCCGGGTCGGGCCGAAGGGTGGATTCATAAAGCCGCCCCCCCTTATTTTCAGAGGTTTTGGTACTCCCATTCTTTTCGTTCTGGGGGTTTCTTCCGGGCCGCATGTCCCGGCTCTTGTGGCTCTTCCAGCATTCTCTGGGTGTCACGGCCCAGGGGGGAACCAAAACACTTCTCAGGGCGACCCTCGCAGACTCGATTGATTTACAGCCCGACATGGGCAAGACGGTGCATCGATCCCAAGAGGATCCTGTGCATGGCGGGGTGTTGGCGAGCGACTCGAGTGATGAGAAAGTGAGTGGGGGGGTCCATTGGGCGCGACGTGCAACCATGCACGTCCTTGTGGGCCACAAAGACTCAAGGAACTGAGATGCCCCCTCACCAAATCTTACCCCAAAACCAAAACGTGACAGCCAACACACGGATTTTCACAAAACACATTGTTAAATCAGATGTGAAAACACACGATTTCCCACACCCTTGCTTCAATCTAACCCACTTCAACCCATGCTTCCGCGCCCCCCCCACCTTCCCCCCGTTTCACAGCGGCGCCGCCCGAGATTCTGCCTGCCCAGCCTGCGTCCGCGGCCAGCCTGCGCGGCCAGCTCAGGTGGACGGGAAGGCTTCCTGCCGGTGGAGCACATGGTCCCGCGGACCGAGGCCAACACCAACGCCGTGAGGAAGACGGTGCCGAAGCGGTGGAGAGTCGGGGATCGGAGGAGGGACTCGTCGGAGGAGTCGCCCAGGAGGAGTTGCTCCCCATTGGAATGGAACAACCTCTTCAATGTGGTTCACATGGGGGGAGCTTATGAATCAAGAGTCTACGTTACATAGTGCGGAAAGAACAGCCGAGTTTTGGCTGGTTCCTGTTGTTTTTTCGTTGAGAGTTCTCAACTCGTGGGCTAAGAATTGCATAGGTTATTTGGGCATGTGTCATCTACTTGGTTGCTGTGACATGTTGCACTCAGATTTGGCAAGGCAGGAGTGGGATAATGCAGAGAGGCTCGCGTGGGATATCATACACCCATCTCCTACAGACTTCTTGGATAAACTTTGACTCTTACCATGTGCCTTTCTTGCCCACTGAGCCCAGTCACCTGACTGGGAGCTTCATTTTTACTGCTCGGGTTCCCACCGTTTCACGCGCCCCACCCAGCTGGTGAACCCTCCCAGCGGATGGGCCACGGACACCTGGCCCGAGGTGACGGCTGCCATGGATGCCTCGGGCCGCCTGGCGGTGCGCGAGCTGGGCGCCGAGCGGGCGACGATGCTGAAGCGCCGGGAGGAAGTGCTGAAGAGCGAGGAGCAGTGGCAGTGGCGGATGGAGTTGGTGGTCTAACCTGGACCAGGTCCACCTCAAAACAAATCGAAGTGCAGACCTGAAAGTTCAGAGCTGGTGCTGCATTTGGAGGGCAGGGATTCATATCAAGACGTGGGCGTGGGCAAGGGCGGCACCGTTTCGGAGCTACTGAAGCGAACCTAGTTGTGTTTTGGTGCCAGGCAGAAGGTCCCCCGAATAGGTCTCGAGCCTGTCAGTAGGGGTTCAGTGCCTAATTAGCTGGCCATTCCTTACAGGATTTCTCGAGCGTCAGACCGTTGCCAAGGGGAATCCTAGGATTCCTTATGATAAGGAAATTAAATTAGAATTAAATTTGAGTTTAAATTAAATTAATAGCTTCTTGTTACTAGTAGTAAGGCACTTGTTACTAGTAGCGATGCGCTTGTTCCTACTAGCTTCTTGTTACTACTAGTAACAGGATTCCGTATCTTTCCGTTCAGCTCCTTGGGCTTCTAAATGGGTGCATCTTCAGAAAGACCAAATGCATAGCAGTAGGGGGGCCCCTGTGACAGGTCAAACGAAACCATCTCAAGCTTGATTTGGCGCTGGGTTGCTCTCCAGGTGCCATAATCCACAGCATCCCACCCACCCATTTCGAGGCTTCCACCCCTCTCCCCGGCGTCCCGGTGCCATCGTGAGGACCTGGACGCCCGGCGCCGGAAGATGGAGGAGCGCATCGACCAGCTGTCGGGGCACCCGGGGGACGGCGGAGATGTGGCGCCCCCGCAGATCGGGACGAGCCAGTCGTCCCTTTTTGGGCCGGGTGGGTGGGGTATGCGGAAGGGAGAAGGGTAGGGAAGCAGAAGGGCTCAAGAGGGGCCATAGGGTGTCCTTTTCGGCTGTCCGTGGGCAGCCCAGCGGGTCATGGCATGATCCACTCCCCGGCCTTGAATCGGCCGAGGGTGTGCGGTGCGTCTCCAGTGCTTCACACCAAGAGGGAGGGACGGTTCACCGAAGGCAAAATTCTTTATACAGGAATTGTTGGGTCAGGTTTTGCTGAGGATACGTTCAAAAGGCCAGGAGCGGCTTGCGTGTTGAAGGCCTTCATTCCAGCGGTGTGGCGGTTGTCATAGACCTGGACTTGGGATAAAGAGGATTTCCAACAGCTACATATAGCTACCCAAAACCCACTGTCTAGGAGATGGGTCCAGTTTACCATGTCCAGGTATGTCCCCATTTCATTCCTACTAACGTCCTCACCCCTAACCCCTACTGATATCACCTGCCTTCCTGGCTTGAAGTGAATCGGCCAAACATGGCTTCATTGGGGAGCGGTTCTTTCTGGCCAGGAAGGAGAACTACAGCCCGAACAAGCTCATGGTGGGCTTCGTCTCTTCAGTTCAGAAGAATGGCATCTTCGTGAGCGTGATCGACGGGCTGGACTCCACCGGGTCGGTAGAAGCGAGCTCGACGGCGAAACCCGCCCAGGTGAGGTCGTGGAAGGCCGAGGGTATGGTGTGGTCAATCCTCCAACATGATCCCCCCGGAATCGTTCCACGATACAGATCTACGAAGTTAGAAGACCTGGTCATTGCAGAGATTCCCAGCCGGTTTGCCAATTGCGCGGGCATTTCTTTTGCAGCCAAAAAGCCCATAGAGTTTCAGATGAGGGATGGTGATGTTCTTCTGCGGAGGATGTCCCTTTTGCTTTGCTTCTATATTCTTTCAATTTTTGTTCCTGTTTTCCTCCGGGGTGGGGGATGGACGTGGTGAAGGAGAACTCCATCGGTGGTCAGGACGCTTTGATCCCCATCAAGGAGTTGCCTGCGAAGTTCCTGGTTCCAGCTGAAAGCCCTGAGGCGTCCAAGGCATCACTGGGAAAAGCAGATGCTTCACCTGGCTCAGTTGGCAGAGGTTGACATGCAGCCAAGCAGTCAGTAGCTGCTTCGCTTCTTGGTTTGGTTGCTTCTTGCTTTGTGTTTGCGTCGCTAGCGACGCTTCCAGATCACCTAGTGCGTCATCATGGAGGTACCGTGTGGCGCTCCAAGCCAACAAAACAGCGGATCTAAATTTTTGGAAGATCGAAAAGCCACTGCGCGCAAAAATATCAATGTTTCAAATTCACCCTCAAGTGAAACATGGATAAAGCGCCACATCACATCTATCTACCGCAAATATCGCTCCCTTCGCTGTAGGCCAAGGATAAGGATGTTCTTTGAGGAAAGAAACGGTTGTGACGGTTGTGTATTGAAATAGGGGGACCTCCCAATAGACCAAAAACCCATTGGTGGGGGATCTCCCCATCAAATTGCGCACCCAGATTTTAATATCACTTGACCGCGAGATCCGTCAAGCGACCTCTCCGCGGACGACCTTGCCCACGCCAGGGCCAGATGAAGCCAAGCTTGGAAGTCGGTCAGGCCAGACTCTCAGCACCAGGTGGTGATGTCGGCAGTGCTGGCAGTTTTGTTCAACTCTTGAAAACCATGTGTTCCACTGGGAAACTCCAAAAACAATTCAACGAACACATGGTTACCTGGTTAAACAGTTGAACACATGGAGTGAAAAACCACAGAAGAGACTGCAGGAATGACGTCGACTGTCGACACGGAGCACACGACAGATCTGTCTCTATTTGATGCATTCCGGTGCCCGGAACAACACCAGCCTAACCCCTAATGAGACAACATCAAAGCAGCAGTCGCTCAAATATATATATATATATATCAGTACAGACTCGTCCATCGTTGATGAAACACATCCTTGATCTTCACCACAGTGCAGCACCGCAGCCGTGACCTTACTATATACCTTTTTGTGTTTGTCTCTCCCGCAGGTGATGCAGCATGGAATCCTTCAAACCGACGACCGTCGGTTCGCTACGACACGGTTCCCGATGCATCGAGCGTGCCGCTCACCGAGGCGGTGCAGTTTCGGCTCATCCGCTACTCGTACCAATCGGCCCGGGCTGCCCAAGTGGCGAACACGCGGCTTTTGCGTGGGCTTTTCCGCAGGTTTTTTTTAAGGCGGGATGAAAGGAAGCGCATTTCGCAGGCTTTCGTGGTGGGTGGGCGTATTGCCAGGGCCAGCATGCCAAGTCTTCAATGAAAAGGGTCTTCGACCCAGTCGTTCCTCTCAGATGATGGTTTGGATATCGCCCACCAAGCATTGACCTGAAGATCCGCCCAACCCAGGATGGCTTCACTGCCTCTATGTTGCCTCCGGAGAACCGCACAAGGCCAGGGTGTGGGCTTGCAAGATGTGAGCTTGAGAGCTGGAGGAAGAGAACTTGGGAGATCCCAGTGCTGCTTTGAGTGGATGAAAGGCATTTTTTCCCTGACCCAATGGGCAACGGGTTTGGCCCAAGACTTTCGTCATTCACCCTACTGTGCAGCTTGCCTTTCTAAGGGTTGTTGTCCAGCGACCTTGTGTCTTGTGATTTCTGGTGTTAGTTATGTTGCCTTTTTGTGGGATGCTGGGGCGTCAATCTTTCCGGATCCGGATACCTAAATTACAAAAAATTCTTGGAAGAGCTGTGGAGGTTTGATGGGCTTTGGGGCACCTCTTTGCACATACATTCCAAGGGACCGCCATATTTGCCCGCAGTGGGGAGCGTAGCCAGTCCAGTCCCATGGAGTGTCCGGGCTTACCTGGAGATTGGACATGCTGGCGGCCCCCACCAGCGGATAGCAAATGATGTAGAGCCCCACCCCTGCTGGTCATGCAGATTTCCTGAAATGAGCAGCATCCAGTAGAATCCTTTTCCGAGAAATGCTGCACAATGCTGCGCACTCTCGGAGTGCCAGATCCTTTGGTTCATCTTGGTTCCTTGGAGGCGGGGTTTGGACTTCCCCCCTTGCCTTCGATGGTGAGGTTGGTGCCTTTGACCTTAGGCCCAATGGACGAGTGGGGCAGAACGCCATGCCATGCAACCTTGCAAGTATCCACCAGATCTGGGGCCCAGCTAGCGCCGGCGCATTTCCGCCGGGCGAAACGCGCCGGGTGAGCACCCCGAGCGGAGCTCGGCGGCCTCGGGGGAGCATGTTTTATGTGTACGCTGGGTTCAGGAGGGGAGGTGAGTGAGGTTGGAGCCTCTTCTTTGACCTCGCAACTGTAGCTTGCCGAGGTTCTAAAACATCGACCTTCACATGATGGCGTAAGGCCACAAACCTGGTAGAGGCCCTGATTTTTGGCTTGCCGGGGTTTAACACATTGGCGTTTATACGGGGTTTTGTTGCTCTTACTGCCAACAAACTCGTCAATACCATGGTTTTTGGTTCAACAACATCGGTGTGACAGTTCTATGTCTCATGCAAAACAACTCCGCACATACTTTATTGCAAAGAAGAGGTTGAACCACTTGGTCAAAAAGACCACTGCACTGGTTGGCTCAAGCCGGCCATGCACCATGGCCAAAAGGGTCCCGGAGCCCGTGCTTTCGCTGCCACTGCTCACGCAGTGGTAGCGGAGCCGGGTTCGATCCAGGGTAGGTGCTGCCGCGATGTCGTTCATGTCCCCGCCGCCGGGACTTTTTGCAGAGGAAGCTGAACCAGCTCCTGCCGCCGCCGCAGCTGGTGGTGCGCCGATGGGCGCACCAGGAGGTGCCGGCTATGCTATAGTGGGTCGATGTCATCAGAGAGCCAAGACCCATGGACACGTCAAGATCCATGGGACCACCACGGGATTTTGCCCAAGCCTCCATGAACGCTGAATACCTCCAGTACCTCCAAAGGCGGCAAGAGAACGCGGCAACACCCAACACTCCACCAGGTCCTGCTAGGCCAGAGCCTGTCAGGCTGGGTGCCCTACTCGCAGTGGGGTCCTCCGAACCATCATATCCCAATATTGAATAGCACCTTAACTCACTAGAGGCGACTTACCATCTCAAAACGCTGGATTGTTTGTGGCAAGCGCTGGCCCAATAGGACGCTTTTTTTTGCACCATAGAATCTTTCCCCACTGCAGGTCCTATATAGCCTTATGTTGCGTGTATACTTTCAGGGACAACAGTTTTTCTGACTTCTGAGCGGAGGATGAGACGCTGCGGGCCTTGCCATTCAGGGCTTTCGGGCTCCCGGATGACGGCCAGGAGCGCCCGACATCGATCAGCTAGCATTTAAGGATGTTTTCTTGTTTTTCGTGGCTTCTGTGGCTTTCGTGGCTTCTGTGGCTTCGTGGCTTTCGTGGCTTCTGTGGCTTTTGTGGCTTTCGTGGCTTCTGTGGCTTCTGTGGCTTCGTGGCTTTCGTGGCTTCTGTGGCTTCTGTGGCTTCTGGCTTTTGTGGCTTTCGTGGCTTCTGTGGCTTTTGTGGCTTTTGGCTTTCGTGGCTTCTGTGGCTTTTGTGGCTGTTTGCTACTAGTCCATCTTTGGAGGAATGTGAAGTCAGCGCCCAAAAGCTTGGTTTGTGACTTTGAGTCAGCCCATCAGATTCCAACCCACACTGCGGACTCGTTTGCATTGTCCCACATTGATGACTTCCAGCCGCTTCTTCATCACATTTCTTGAGAGTCCTGATTCAGGCCGCCATGTTCATCCTTTGGAAATGCTTGCAATGCAGCAAGCAAGCAAGCAAGCAAGAGCTGCTCACCTTTGGATCTGGTGTGCTGTTGGCGGGGGCGCTGCGCCCCCCCCCCACCCCCCCCCCCCCGCGCCACGAAATCTGCACTTCATCTCCGCCACCCGCGCCTGCCACGAAATCTTTCTCTTTGCTTTTCTGCTACTGTAACTGCACCAAACTGCTGTGATAGTCTGACACCTACACTATTCCAATGCAAATCTGTCTACCTATCCATTTGTCTGTCTATATCTATTTATCTATCTCTCGATCTATCTATCTTTCTATCTTTCTTTCTTTCCTATCTATCTATCTATCTATCTATCTGCACTTCAACATCGACAAAGTCCTGCGCCTGCCACGAAATGTGCATT